AGATCACACTTTGGCACAAAAGTCTGTTTCAAACAACTATGAACTATACATAGTTTAAGCTTTTCATTCTAATATCATTGATGCTTCAAACTATGAGCTGATGAGCAACTTCAGTCCTTTGGCTTCATAAACAAACCTGGATGAACAAACAACTTGTGACCTTCAGTTCAAATCCATTCCATTGTCCATGCAATGGTTGATGTCCTATTAAGCAATTGTGTGATACTTGTGTCAAACCATACCATATCCGATCATATATGTATATATATAACTTACTTGAGATATGTGGTTTTCTTTCTTTGCTTATTCTTACTTGTGCAAGATCATTGGTCTACATATCAATGTATGTATTGAACAACAGATTGGCAGCACTATTTGTAGCTTGTGGATGTATCTTTTTGTGTACAAATCCCAAGTCTTTCATGTTCATTTTGGAAATTATGTACTTTGCTTGTTGTGCTTTCCTCAATCACAACAAGATAACCAAAGAACAAAAGACATGCATTTTGAGCAAAAAAGCATGCATTTTCTTCGGTTGCCAAAAAAATACTTTAGTTGACAATTTACTAGTTTAGTAAACTAAATTTTGCAATTTAATTAAATTTAGCCAAAAAATAAATTTAATAGAAAAAGAGACTTAGGGTGAGAACTCTTCCAAACTACCGTGAGATCTTGATCAAGCAACATGGCGATTTGAGCCGTGTCTTTGCCAAAGTGGACTCGTTGACTACGGAGGCTGCAGGGCGGCTTTTGTCTGCAGTCGAGACGGAACTGTGGGGCGCGTACGCAGAGCAGCTGAAGCAAGACATAGCAGCTCGCAGAGGCAAGGATGAGGCCAATAGCCGTAGATTGAATCAGGATTTCCTGGCGGCGGTGCATTATTTGCCTGCTTGGTTGGTGGCGCGCCTTGAATCGGATCGAAACCGTGCCGAAGTTTTGGAACATTTGTGCCGTCATCTCGTGAAGTTGGGTCTTCGGCACCCGACTGAGAAGACGTGTGGTTTGATCCTTGCACTGGCATTTGATTTTCATGGAGTCGCTTTCGAAGCGGACAAGTGGCAATACACGGTAATGCACAAGGCAACCGTGCAGAAACTGCTGACTAAGCCGGATCCTTCGGTGTACTTGGATGTCTTGCCTACTGATTTGGAGCAGTGTCCAGGAGCGCTGTTCCAAGCAGCTTTTCCGAACGGTCAGCAACCGATCGCTTTGCAGTCTGCGGCGGATCTGGTTGTTCGTGGCCGCACATGGCCCATTCGGAACTCGCATCGTCTTGCTGCCTCTACTTCGAAGCCAGCTGCTTCGAATGCTGTGGATTTTTACGCTGTTGGCCAGATGGCTGCTGGAATGATGGCTGCTGGATCACACGTGGGACAGCGGACGCATTCTTCAGTGGCAGCTCCGGCGACGCCTGCGGAGAAGCCTCCGAAGGTATTGCTGGCGTTGGAGGATGGTCCAGTGGAGGATGTTCCCGCAGCCGCGCCGCGTGCAGAGATGTCTGAGCCATCGGTTCCCTTTCCTTCGAAGACACGCTCTGACGGCGGTGCTGCAAATGTGGCGGCTTCTTTGGCCGCTTTGAAAGGCGCTGTGGCCAGCCAGGTCAAAGAGACAGGACAGAAGGCTTTGAAGAAGCCTGCGTCGCGTTTGCAAGCAAAGATGAAAGAAGATGGGTTGCAAAGGGAAAAGAAGTCGTCCTATGAGGTTCTGAAGAAACCTGCTTCCAAAGTGTCTGAGAAGTTGCGCAAGGCTGCTGATGGCAAGGCAGCTGCAAAGAAGGTGGCTGCATCCAGCAGAGCGAAGAAGCCAACAAAGAAGACGGACCAGAAGGAAAAGAAAGCTGCTAAGCGAATGCGGCTGTTAGCAACGTTGCCGCCGAAGATTCGCCGCAAGTACAAGGATGGCTGTGGCCGTTGCCGTTGGCGCAAGGAGTGCACGCTGAGCTGTTGGCGTCTGCGGGGATTTCTTTTTGAGTGAGAGCTGCAGTACTATATTGTGACGGATGTATATTTATATATATAGCTTCATGTCCCGGAAGTGGAATCGATCGTTGCCATTGGCGCAAAGAGTGCATGCTGAGCTCTTGCCTTCTGCGGTTTTTATTTCGTCGGACACCATAAAGTTTGAACTTCTATAGATGGTATACTCTGTTCGGACCATATGGATAAGTCACGCTGTTGGGGTTTGGAGGCATGGGTCACACCGGGGATCACTCAAGAATGTTCATGCATTCTCACCATCTTACTTGGAACTTTGGCTTGCGTCATGAGTTGTTAGACTTGTTTGTTTGCAGGGTAAGGCTCAAACGGCGTGTCTGCGGCGCGCGCTCTCCGTTCTTTGGTGAGGCGGGCTACGTGGGGAGAACTTGTCATGTCCGCATGCTACGAACCCTGGCTCACGTCAGAGATTGGAGCTTTTTTTTTATTCTATGCATATATGTTATATAATATCATGCAATTGTATATTGCATCTTCCGACTTTCGCTTCGACGTGGAGTGGGAGGGTGTAATGCGGCAGCGTATCTTTCTACGAGGACGATGCGCTGCCTGGGATCTCTACGGGAGCTTCGGGAAAAGATCCTACGTGGATCTGTATGTGGGTCTTACGTGGACCCATGGTGCATTGATCTCTACGGGAGGTCAATACATGTGAAGATCCTACGCGGATCTTCGTGGTGGTTCCTACGAGGACCCACGGTGCACTGATCTCTACGGGAGGTCACGAATAAAGAACTTCTGTGGTTCTTCTCAGTGGCTCCTACGCGGATCCACGGGGTGTCAAACAAAAGGATCCTACGTGGTTCCTCTATGTGGTTCCTACGCGGACCCACGTTATATTGGTCTCTACGAGAGGTCAACGAGGGATCCTACGAGGATCTTCTCACCCGTGGGTCTTACGTGGACCTATAGAGATGTCACCTACGGGGTGTCATCACCGTGCTTCGCCGCCGCGGCGTTGTCGGATGGCAACACCTGCAGAAGCTGTTGATCTTGGCTCGGTTCATACACAGTTATAATATGAGTTTCTATAGTTGATTTAGCAACATGTATATATTGCATTTCCCACTGGTGCCCTTGTTCCGTTCTACATACATGTTGTCTCACGCATGCTGGACAGGTACGCATGTCTCCGGAGAGCGACTCCAGTGACTCGGAGTCAGTGGAAGAGGCAGCGGAACGGACGACCGAGAAGAAAAGTCCACAGAAGGACGAAGAAGAACCCAAACGTGCAAAACCAAGTCCTTTTGTGATGAGAAGGAAAGACGTCGATCCCACGCAAGGGGTCGCCGCCGGGGTCGGTCTGCCTCACGTGGGCGAGACCGACGCCGCAGGTCCCGTTCCCACGGGAAACGCAAGCGGCATTCCGACGGTCGGTCAGGCACAGAACGGAAGGCACGGCGCAAGGAGGCCGAGCCAGAGGACAAAGGAAGCAAGCGCCCGGTGTCACCTCCTGGCCAGCCGCCGGAAGGAGCCGCTGTGGACTTGCGGCCAGCAAGGCGTGCGGAAACAGATGCGGGAACAGTTGCACCAAAAGTGAAGTGCCCACACTGTGGGAAAAAGCTGACCGCCCAAGAAAGTGGACAAAAGTTGCACATGTACCTGAATCTGTACTGCATCCGTTGCCAGCTGTGGCAAAAACTACCGGATGCTAACCGGACGCAGGAAATGTGGGAGAACACGTTGCAACAGGCGAAGGTTTTATGCGCGCAGAGGGCAAAGCAAGATCAGCGAGACGCTGAGGCTGCAGCGGTGGCACCTACGAGGTCCCAGGCAAGCCGCGTTCGCAAGGCGAAGCCGTCCTTGCCCAAAGCATTGCCGCTGGATCCTCCGAGCCCAAGCGGCGGAGACACAGGGTCGGATCCACCGGAACCGGAGAAGCCTGTTGGTAAGTCCAAGAAGGCCAAAAATAGAAGCAGCGGCAGCGGCCGGCAAGTTACCATCAACATAGGATGGTGACGTCTGCGTAGGAGTCGAAGACAGGACGCGCGCCGAACCGTTTGTGGAAAAAAGAAGGTGCGTTCTGTCCCCCTCAATGCGCCCCTCTTTGGGTACTCTAAATTAACTGGGCTCTGCTGTATTGTTGGCTGGTTTGAAACTTATTAATGTCATGACATCATGGTCTGTTGCAATGATGGTTCAAGGGCTGCTTCGTTTTCATATATTCGAGAATTTACCTTCATGCCGACGCCTTGCTCTTTTAATATATCAAAAGAAAACCTGGACGCTTTCCGTGCCGCGCTGCAAGCAGCGTCGTCAAGCCAGCCCGGCTGGTGGTCGACATGGGAAACCTGCTGGGTGAAGGTAAGTGAGACTTTGGACCAAGCAGAGTCTAGAGCCTACGAGGCCGCAGACACAGACGCTGCCAAGCAGTGCTGTCGTCTGAATCGTTTGATTCAGACGTGCCTTTCCCCAACCTGGGAGATGGTTTCGGCGGATCCGAACCCGGAGAAAACGATCCTGTGCGCGGTGTCGGATTGGACGGATGACTGGTCGAGGTTCAAGCACTGCTTGACCGGCTACCATATGGAAGAATTCCGCACCGTGGCAGCTGATTTGAAACGATTGCAAGAATATCTCATGCTTCTCCCGGAAGCGAGCTGGGCCTACGCGGCGGAAACGCAGGTTCTTCTTTTGCTGGCTGATTGTGAAGCTTTGCACCCGCAAGGCACGTAGGATGAGACCCGGAGAAAATTGCAATGTTCCTGGGGAGAAAATGTGTTGTCCGCGACTCGTCCGCGCAGATCCGCGGTTGTCCGCGGCTCCAACGGTGTTAGGCCATGTCCGCGATGTCCGCGAGCTAAAGCAATTTAAACATAGAAAAAAAAAGCTATGAAATCCTAGATTTGTCAGGTTGTCCGCGGAGAAAACGATGGAATCTGTTGTCCGCGGACGACAGGGAGTAAGCTACCTTTTCCGCAGCTTTTCCGGTTCGAGCCCTGTAGTAGTTCTCAGTGTTTGGCGGACCACTTCGTGTCTTTCCATCCTGTTCCTTTGCGTCTTGCCATGGCGTCGGTGGAAGCTGAGCCGCAGGTGACCTACCGCTGCAGCCTCTGCAATCTGACCTACGCGGTCGACGCCGGGAGGCTGCACGGTCAGAAGTTCCAGTGCACGCCCTGTGCATCGGCCGATAGACTTATCCGGCGGGGTCTGGGCAGCAAGGACGAGTTGCAATCTTTGAGCAGCCAAGAACAGGAACAGTTTTTTCAGAAACTGCACAAGGAGAAAGAGGACATGAAGGAATCCAGAATCCAATGGCGCACTGTGAGAGCGGCTCTTTTGACGAGTTTGTGCACTCGGCAGATGACAGAAAATTCTGCAAGTGTGGATGCCAAGTTTTTGCCCCTTGACGTTTGGGTGCAACAGGGCTGGCCTGAGAAGACTGTGCGGAATTGTCCCAAAGAGTACAACGAACAGTACCAGTGCGATACGTATCAGGTGCCGATCAAGTCGATGACGTGGAAACAAACGTACCAAGCATGTGAGGAGAGAATTCTCCGTCAGGAGCGAGAGGCGACCGCTAAGCGCACGGCTAAGGGACGTGGTTCCGCTGCTGCAGAGCCAGAGCTTGCGTTGGACTTGCCAGCGGCAGAGCCAAGGCAGAACGGCACGGCGTCTGCAGCGGCTGCTGAGAAGAAAGCGGCGAAGGCCGAAGCAGTGCAAGAGAAGAAGAACATCACGAGCAATCAGAAGGTTCAGCTGCTGGCTGCTAAGGCCGTAGCACCTTTGTCTTTGGACCTTCAGGCTGTCACGAAGCTACGTGCTCGTGTGCCGGAAGACTTGCCAGAAGCTGTCCAAGCAATTTACGACCAAACGGTGGAGAAATTGCAGCGTTGGCTGCATGGTGCCAAAGGACTGTTGAAAGACTGGGAAGAAGAGGCAGCCCAAGAGGGTAAGCACGCTTTGACACCGCCAGCCTTTGATATGGCCGATGTCAAGTGTCTGCACAAGACGGTGGGCGAAGTGATGGCGAATTTGCGGACCCTCTTGCCAGTCCCCAAAGCGAAAGCGAAGGCCGGATCCAAGCGCAAGCAAGCTGAGGTTGGAGAGGCCGCCGCTGTTGAAGGAGCCGCTGCGCCGCCGGGGGGGCGCCGTGTGCGAGGAAAAAACCCTCAGTGACAGAACTGCTCTGACTCGACGAGTGGCTTGCAATTTGCAAACGGACTTCTCGTTTTGCTCCTGATGAGCGTTTGAAAACGAAGGTCTTTCACACATAATGCTGACCGACTGCAGGGGACACGCAGAAGGCTAAAAGTGATTTCGGGTGCACATTGGCGTGCAGGAACCTCTGAATATCGTTTTGTTGTCTGCATGCTTGTGGAGTTGTGTGCCTGCAACACAGGCATTGTCGGCATATATATCAGACAAGTATAGTCTACGCACAAATAGCCGCAGATACACAAATGCACGGCTTTATCGCTCATTATGCGTCTGCAAATGTCTATATATCCTTTCTTCGTAATATATCCATATATATAGGGACACATGATTGGTTTCTCCATGTCGATCTATCTGTCTCTATCTATCGATCTATCTATCGGATTCGTGCCGATGTGAATCTATTTGTCTCTCTGTCTTTCTGTCTATCTGTTTGTTTGTCTGTCTGTCTGTCTATCTGCTAATCTCTCTCTCTATATATATATAAATACATACATATATATATATATATATATGTAGATTAATATATGTATATATATATGTATGTAGATATATATTATAATATATATATATATATATATTATAATATATATATATATTATAATATATATATGTATATATATTATATAGATTATTTTCGTTCTTCCTCTAGAATCACTGCCTCTTGCAACTTGAATGTACTTGAGGATGCCCATGCATGTGCACTGCTTGCCTTGGGGATTGAAATCGAACCGTTCAAGGGCAAAACCATAAAGAGGGATCGTCAGTTGGCAAATATGTCGACATGTCGTATATAAAAATGTGCTGTAGACAAGTCACGCATACGTTTCATGTGTGTATATATCAGTTCGGGTAGTTAAAAAAAACAAGCCATGGATCCAAAATGCATATAGTTATTTGGTGCAAAAACAGGCCATTCCATCGCATGCCTGTAGCCAAATTGTTTGCCGCTATGGGGAGACGCAATGCGTTTGCTGCTTAAGTCGACATGAAAAGAAGGAGATTGCGAGCTGATGATTCCTTGTTAGAGCAGTATCGATCTGTACGACAGATCGGATCCCTAACAGCCGCGGAATGCAGACAAGTAGTGCAGCTGGTTCGAGAGGACGACAGAGGTGGTAGAACGTCTGTCCGTCCTAGAACGAAGCATCCAATCGCTTTCCCTCTCCTGCGGGAATTGCCACTGCGGGATGCGGACACGGGCTGCGTTGTGACGGCGTGGTCCATGAGTTTGCCAGGCCTGGTGCAGGCAAAGATAGACGCTTGCCCTTTGTATCGTCTTTTGATGCAAAGAGCTTTGCAAAGAAATGGCAATCATCTCACCCTGATTTTTTATCAGGATGAGGTGTCTGGCGGAAACATCTTGAGTCCAAACCACTCGAGAAAAAGCAACCTGACCTATGTCATGTGGCTGGAATTCGAAGTGATGTTTGTCGAGGACCTCTGGCTCACCATGGGTGTCATGCGCTCCAGACAAATAGGACAGGTGGAGGGAGGAATGGCGGCATTGACACGAGCCATGCTGTTGCAGATACGCTCTGAAACGGAGAATGGCTTCGTAGTCGATCTTGGGTCATCAGGAGAGCCTGTCCTGTGCTTCATAGATTCCGTTATTCTCTTGATGGATCACGAGGCAATTCGGGCATGCACTGGCACCAAGGGTGCCTCCGGACTCAAATGCTGCATTAAATGCTTGAACTGTTTGTCAGTAAACAAAGCCGACGCAGTCCATGACCACTACGACATCACCTGCACCGCCATAGAGAAATTTTGGCCGGCATCCAATGGGTCAGTGCGTGCTGCTGCCGACCGGTTGAGAGAAGAAGAAAGAAAAGGCAAGAAACAGGAGCTGGAGAAATTATTGGGTTGGAATGCCGCTGGGTTGTTAGCTGGCCCCCTGATGGCGCCAGCCTTGGACTCATGGGTGTCAGTGGAAACAGTTCACTTTGACACTATGCATGCTTACTTCAGCAACGGCATCATCGGCCAAGAGCTGGGTTGCTGGTGGGGACACGTGCAAGAACATGCGGGTGTGACTCTTGCACAGCTGGCAACATATGCTGCTATGTGGAGTCGCTGCCCCAATTCTCCGGCTGCAAAGCAAGTGGCGCCGCAGTTTTTTTTTGATGAGAAACTCTGGCGAGACGACGGAGACTTTCGCGGAGAATGTGCGGCAACAGCCTTGGTTCTCTTGCTTTGCGTAGGCTTTTCTGAGGAAATGCTTGCCGAATATGAAGCAATGCAAGCAGCCGTACGTTCTTTGACGGCTTTGTATGGTGTGATCTCGGTCTTAGCTGATGCAAAGCGAAATCCAAGCGCTGCCTCGACTTTGTTAGCAAAACAGCAGAGGCATATGAAATGCTTCGCTGAAGCTTACACAGATACATGCATGCGACCAAAGTTCCACTATGCTCTGCACACGACGGCGCAAATTGCTAAATTTGGTCGCCACGTGGACTGTTTTCCGTGCGAGCGCAAGAACAAAGCGTACAAAGCACGAGCAGCGTCGAACTGGAGCAACTCACCGGCTTTCTCGAAGGGAGTCTTGCTTGACTTGGTCACACAAGACTTGAACAATGCTTTGCCCATGGAGAAGATGTTCCTTCGACTCCTGGGGAGCCAAGCCCCTAGCCCAGTTCCGGCACCTTCCCATGTCACAGATTGGTTGGAAGTCGAATATAAGTGTGTCACCTATAGCCGAAAACAAGTTGTCCGGCTTGCAGATGGCAGTACTTATTGCATCCAATTCTTTCGATGGCAGGGGAACAAAGTTGACATGCATCTGCAACAGCTGGTGCCAACAAACGCTAGCCGAAAGCCAGCTGCTGTTACAACTTGGAAGTATGTGACGGACGCTCCTGTAGTTGCGAACGCGCAGTGTCTTGACAAAAGTGTTTCACCACAATACTTTCGAAGCCACGATGACGGCACTGTATGCATGCTGTGGTGAAAAAAATGGCAGCGATCACTCTGAAAATGCTATCAAATCTTAAAAAAAAACAAAACAACATAACTATACTGAATTGACCCTCAAAACACTTAGAAATACTTAACCAACTTAGGCTGGACTTATAAGTAGATTATAAATCCATCAAAAATACTTATACTTAAGTCCACTATAACTCAACTTATAAGTCCATAAGTACCCGGTGCCATCCTACCCTGAGCATCGCCTTTTGATTACAATCAAAAGATTTGATTTTGAGGCCTAAGAAATCAAAATGCCTAATTGAAAATTTTCAGTCAAAAATCAATTTGAAAAACATAGGTTTTGAAAGGCAAAAATCAAAAGAGCAAATCAAAAGGAACCTCTAAAAACAGATCAAAAAAGGTGTTTCCAGATGCAGCTCTGGCAGCAAGATTTTTGAAGGCATGCCTCATATCTCTAGGTGGCTTTGCACCTAAAGTATATATATGTACACACAGCTGGCTAAGTAATCCTGCTGGCTTTTTCCAAAGCCATCTGGCCTTTTCCAAAGCAGTAGGCTGAAATCCTTTTCCAAAGTTTCCAGTCTACACTGTGCCTTTTCCAAAGCAAAGAGCTTTTCCAAACTAATCACCACTTTCCTCCTGCATGGACCTTGTCAAAAAAAGATGCACCAAAATGCGATACTTGGGTGCAACTTTTAAAGACAGGCGTGTGGATGATACTCCCATTGAGACTGAATGGGTCAATCTGGCCACCTGCCCTACAAAATCTTCAGCTTTGAAACACCACTGTGTTCGTGGGTTTAAAAACTTAGAATTCCAGACCAGATGGATGAAGCTGTGATGTTTTGGAACTATGTGAAAACTCATCCTGTCCTTTTCCAAAGACCATTGGTTCAGCCAGGCATAGCTTCTCAGGAAATCACCTGCCAGCTTCAAGCCCTTTTGGTACTGTGATGAAGTAAGAAATGTGTCAGCCTCATCCCAGAGCTTCACCAGCTTTTCCAAACTGGTAGCCACCAAGACCATGTGCTGCTCACATTCTTCCATTGTGTCTTGAAAAAGCCTTTGGATAACAGGAATGAAGGCTGGCAGGAGGTGCCTGGCTTCCCCTCCTTTGCAATCCAATTGGGGATATTTGGCCCATGGCTTTTGTGTGTCTGTAAACATGCTCATCCTGAGATTGGACAAGCGGTTTTTGCACTCCTGTTTGCTGTATTCAATTTGAATTTCACTGAAGAGAATTGCAAGTCTGTCTGCTGGCTTTTTAGTGGCTCTTTGGCCAGGGCCTTCAATGTAACAGACATAATGGAGAATTGATCCTATAACATGTCCATAGAGTCCTTTGCAGAACAAGATGTGTAGTGGATCTCCACGGACATGTTTGCTTGAGATGTGGCTCAGTTTGAAAAGGGCATGGTCACTCCATGGGTCTGCCAGGCATTCTTCATGGGTGAAGACTTTGAACTTTTGCTTTTCCAAACAAATTTCCTTGTACCCTTTTCCAAAGGTACATGGAGTAAAGTTCTGGGCATCACACTCCCAGCAAGGCCAGTGGCTGTTCCAATGTGGTAATCCCAAAGAGTTAGCAAAAAACTCATGGTCTCCAATCACAGACCACAGGACAGCCCTGTATCTTTTGAGATGCAGTGGCTGGCCTGCTAGCCTGTGGAACACTGAACCCTTTTCCAAAGGTTTGTTGTCTGGATCCATGGTTGGGTGCTTGCCATCTGCCAGTGCTTCAAAGGACCATTGAAGATATTTCCAAATGACTTCCCATGTTGTCTTGCTGCCACAGCTTTTAGGAAAGCAGGCAAGGAGCCAATGGCTCAGCAAGGTGCTGGTGCTGCTGAGTAAGCAGCCCCAGGAATAGACCATTAAATTGTCATTGTTGGAAAAATCAACCCCATCGCCATGCAGAAACAGGGGGATAGTAAGATCTTCCCAGTCCTTTTCCAAAGACATAGGGTGATCTTTCAATTTGTCATCATTGGTTTTTTCAACCCCTTGCCAGAAGGCTTTGAGTTTTCCCTGGCCCAAGCTGAATAGCTCATGGAAAACTTGTGGGTAGTTAACACCCAGTTTCCAA